AACGCCCCCCCCCGCCCCCCCCCCCGCCCGGTACGCCTATGCTGATTGATCAGTAAAATCTTCTGGCGTTAGATAGAGTAAAATAATCCGGTGTTAGACAGTAAAGTAGGGTGTATTATGGTGCAATTTTTAATGCGTTTAGCTGTTTACCAACCTCGTTCCCAGGGCTTCAGTGTGAGGACGAGGCGAGACACGAGGAAGCCCTGGTCCGGGCCGGTCAATTTTGCATTCTGATTGGCTAACACCATATTGTCTAAAAATAGCTGAACTTGACAGTTGACAATAACAATTCAACATTTGTATTTTTATGATTCTTGTGTGTACGAGTATGTTTTGCAAAATAATCTTTCAAAGTAAGACGTTTCCTTTCAGATCAGTGCGTTTTCCCGACTGCATAATTTGCTTTCGCCTCGGCCGGTTACAAAACTCAAAAGCCGTGTCGAAGTGAGCTGTGATGTTTCCTGACAAAACAAGAAACGTCTCCTATTATTTAAGCTGTAATTTTCCTTGTACAGTATTTATTAGTGCAGATGTCTGATGAAATACTACGCGTATTGCATTGTAGTAATATTTTAATTTACAATATTCTGTACTGACAAATAAAAGCAAGACAAACAATTAAATGAAGCTACTAAATTAATTTAGGCCCTGTTTACTTAATAGCTCTACGCCTAGGCCGATGTAGTCTCTACAAGATTCGCACGCCACCCAGTTTTTCAGTTTCAGAATACCCCCGAATACTTGTAAATTGCGACTATACGAGAAAATAAAACAAAGATTGTGAAGGGGATAAAATTTGTAGGCAAGCATTCGGCTCCTGAACGGCAAGTGTTGGTGTCCGACGAAACAAGCGAATCCGTATACTCCTGTACAGCGTAAACAGCTTACGCGAGGTTTATATTTGTGTTTATTTATATTGAACTAAGTCAGATCTATAAGAGCATATTTAAACTAAATATTAATTATAGCAATAGCCATATTGTTCAAGACGAGAGAAAGGAAATTTCGTGTGAATCACCACTTGCATGGAGACGCCTAGATGCAGCTTGGATGCAGTTTGCCTGTAGTTGAAAATCTCCAGAAATATCGGTATATCTTAGAAAACATAGACGGGATCTTCATAGATTTTAGCTGATTCGTGCCAAACTTCGCTCTACACATAAATAATATCGATTGAGAAGTCCTTTGGCTATTTATTTGTTTCGAAGACTTGTATAATTCATTAAAGAATATCTCGCCACTCCTTGACGAGTAGCTGCCAAATACTGCCAAATTTTGTCGTCACGTGACCGGCCCGGACCAGGGCTTCCTCGTGTCTCGCCTCGTCCTCACACTGAAGCCTTGGGAACGAGGTTGGCTGTTTACTAGACATGACTAGACAGTCTAGATTGATTAACCGATTGAGCACCAGTACAAAACTTTTGATGAGCAAATATTGCAATGAGCATTAAGGCGCCATGCAACTTAATGGGGTTAACAATTGTTAAAAATGTGGAAGGTTGTATTGTATGTCAGGTTTAAGATGATGTACAGCATTAGCATATGATTGTGTATATTTGTAATTTTCTTCAGATGCAGGATGCACAAAGTGAAGAGGAATTAAATGCAGTACTTGAACAGGATGATGTCCTTCTGTTGTTATCGCAAGCTGGATTCACAAATGAGCTTGTTAGCCTTACTAACAAGCACAGAGCTTGTCAGTGCATCATTATTCATGTTGTATTTAAAACTCGAAGAGAGGAGCCGCAACAACTTAAGATTGGTTTGGAAAGTATCTCCTTTTACAATTTTTACAAGTTTGTGAAAGCTGTGTGAGCTACATCTTCCCATTGGAAAAAGAAATTACAGTTACAAGTTCAGATTTTTTCAACTTAATTAATAAAACCTGGCTACAAAGTCTTCGTGGAACTGAAGATGCTGTGATGAAGTGGTTTGCACAGTATGTGATAGAAATTGAAAAGGGCAATGCAGGTACAACTTGGGTGAAAAAAATACCTGTGGTTCCGGTTCCCGACTGCATATGAGTCACGATTTAGGAACAGTTACTATTTTTAGACTTAGGGTTAGGATTAGGGTTTGGATTAGGGAAAGGATTAGGGTTATGATTAAGATTAGGCTTGGAGTAAGGGTTAGGATTGGGGTCAAGTTTAAAATACAAAAGAATACAAAATTAAAAATTTTAAAATAGTAACTCTTCCTAAAACGTGACAGGTATAATGTTTTTGACAACACGGACGTCGGCAATTAGTTTTCACCAATCACAGCCCTTGACCCAGTCTTCTGGCGTTACTCATGCCGTTCGTGTTGTCAAAAACGTCACTTGCTACTATTATTGAACCAAATTGCCTGAATTCGTCCATAGTAAATACGCATCTCTAGTTAATATTGATGTTGGGACTCTACTGCAAATTGCCCAGGAAAAACCCGCCAAAACCATGAACAGATATGCAAAAAAAAAATATTTCCAACCTACCGACCATAATTTTTTCACGATATGAAATCGGAACCACTGATACTTTTACGTCTTGGTACATGTTTGAAAGTACAATTATAAATAACTTGATAAACTAATTGGCTAATAACAACTTTGAACCCACCCCCTTAAATAGGTAAACATTTAGGGACCAATGGGTGTAAACCACTTTTTTAAAGCTCTTCTGAATAAGAAACCTTAACTCCCAGACATGGTTTTAACATTAATTATAGCTGTCATTTTGTGCACCTAGGAATGTCCAATGATGATCAAGCTTGTTCCAGCAATGAGACCCTCAGTTGTCTTCCATCCCTGGGGCAGCTCATCCAGTTTATGGCTGGACATCCATATCGTCCATCGTCAGTGCCAGCAATTTCTTTTACTTCAGGGTTTTATCCAGATGCAGACTCTTGTTTTCTTCAGCATTGTTATGCCAATCGGTCATGGCACCTACCAGGAATTCAAAAAAGCAATGAACACTGTCATTTCGTGCCAGCACCATGGATATGGAAGGGGCTAGGTTTGGAAACTTGATTTGGGACAAAATGTAAAACTAATTGTAATGTATAGCAAACTAACAGTAGTTTTCTATGTTTGTGTTTTTTGGTTTTCATTTGTTCATATTGAACAAAATAACGTGAGGTGCTTAGTCACCACGCATTGTTGAGTTTATCATGCAATCAAGTGACTGCAACTTTTGAACTTTTTTAAACGAAACTGTGTGTTAATATTTGTTTTTAATTGATAATTGACACGCACATTCTTAACTGTCCTAAAAGAGTATTGTAGATATACTGTAATATGGTTAGGTACCGGGTGGCCCAAAAAAAAGTACTCATCTTTGATTCAGTATAACTTAAAAAGTAAAAGAGTTCTGACACTTAAACAATAGGCATTGTATTCAGTAATGTATAACTTAAATTTTCGTATATACCATTTGCATTTTAATACAGTATTGACTGAGATAACTGCGTTTAAAGTTGAGTTAACGTTTCGGGAAATGTCGAAAATGAGCAAAAAACGGCCTATTAAATGTTAATAGCGCAATAACCTGTGCGTAGGTACACTGCAGTCGAAAAGTACACGTTTGTTTTCCAGATAAAAATGCTATTCATTAGGAAATGCATGGCCCGCAGCAAGAATGCACTTTCTTGCCCGTGTGAGCATGCAGTCGAATGAATTTCGGATCATCTGGGCATCCAGGTTGCGGCATGCTGTTACAATTGCCTCACGAAGCTCTCTCAAATTATGTGGTTGTTCATCATGTGGCACATTCCAAATTTGATGCTTCAAGTAGCCCCAAAGAAAAAAATCGCACACTGTCAGGTCAGGAGAACGAGGGGGCCAAGGCCAATCACCCCGTTTACTCATCAGTCGGCCAGGAAATTGCCCCCGAAGATATTGCATAGTTGCGTTGACAAAATTACTTTAATAGGCCGTTTTTTGCTCATTTTCGACATTTCCCGAAACGTTAACTCAACTTTAAACGCAGTTATCTCTGTCAATACTGTATTAAAATGCAAATGGTATATACGAAAATTTAAGTTATACATTACTGAATACAATGCCTATTGTTTAAGTGTCAGAACTCTATTACTTTTTAAGTTATACTGAATCAAAGATGGGTACTTTTTTGGGGGCCACCCGGTATAAAAATGTCACTATAAAATCAATTGAAATTTTCTATCTACAACAACTCTTCGACGTCTAGTTGTTTTGAGTGACATGCCCCAAATCCTGATAAAATGTGTGTCTTGTCTATACAAACCATATATGTGATGATAAGTTCTCACACCTGTTATCAGATGCTATCGATGACCAATTATAGTATGTAGTGCAGATAATTCAGCAACATAGCTGTAATGCCATTGTTAATTATTACTCAATTAACCTCTCAAATGCCGAAAGTGCTGTAAGATACGAAGTAATTCCATTTTCATCCAGGGGTACTGCAGCGATTGCTTTTTGAATTGCTGTCTCTTGCTCATAGGATACTTCTACAGTGGACTGTGGAACACTCACTAAATCAGGATGTGAAGTAGGAACTGGCCCTTCTTCTTCAATCCCAAAATCTTCTACATTACTAGGTACACCATCGACAATGTCTCGGACAGCTGTTAGGTTGGAATTCCTAAGTTGTAACATCCCTTGTGTCCACATTTGGCGTGGGCAAAAATTGGTTTCAGTAGTGACTAGGTGGTCATTCCACTGAGCCACAAATTCTGTTAACGCTGCATTGATTAACGGGAGATAAACAATATGAAGACAGTAAAGGTGTACTTCATCTGTTGGGATAAAAACTCCTCTGTTTTCTAAGAAGATGAATATGTTCAAAAACCTACTTACAACAATCCGATTGACCTCCCGCCACAGTCGTTCTATTCTCTGATTGTGAACAGAATTCCCAGTAATAATGCTTCCTCTGTTGCACCCTCTTGTCTGTAACATGAATCGCGCGACATCTATGTTTTCCAGACCCATGTCACTTCTGACTCTTGAAGGGATGTTATATATCGCTGTTGCCTCTCTAAATAGCTGAAAAACAGTGTCTGCTCGATTATTTGTTGATCCATTTAAGTATACAATCAGTCTTGAATACCCATCAATTGCACCATGTATGACGAACCGATACGGTGTAACGAGTTTGTGGTCGCCATCTATGTGCCTAAAATGACGAGGATTGAACATGATTATGACACTTCATTATATAGGAAAAAACTCTCCCCTTACTTTACATATAGATTTGTCTGACATATTAGAGAAAATAAAATGAAAATACCAGAGGATGCATTGTGGCTTGTGTGGTAAATAAATAGGAGACAATAGGGCAAGATAATTTAGAGGCCATGCTTAATTAATAATTCACTTAATGTCAAAATCATAGTGGTGTACTCTAAACTTTCCCATGCCATAAATGCCAAGACTTATCCACAATAAGATAAAAAAGGGTCTTTAACAAGAAAAATTGCACTTACTCCCTGGCGGCATGAGAGGGGCATTTGCCATTCGTGATTTTCCAGAGAAAAATGTTTTAGTCTAACGTAACATAAGACTATTATCGATAGACTTGCTTCCCGATGACACAAGAAACCGCATGCTTTAATTTAGGGGTCGGCTATTTTGCGAGCTGCGAGTTGCGAGTTGCGAGTTGCGAGTTGCAAGTTGCGAGCTACGAGTTGCGAGTTGCGAGTTGCGAGCTGCGAGTTGCGAGTCGCTAGCCTCGCTTTGAATTAGGCTTTGAAAGTATATTAATATGGACGACATGGAAGGCAAAGTCGAAGGGTTTTTTGTTTCATAAATATAATGACCTTCGAAGTTAAGGTCCCTGTAACTAAGACTTCGACACAAAAGAAAATGCTACGATACGGACGAGATAAAAATCGGCCTTTACTTGTTTGTTTACTTTGTTAGATCCATCGATACGTATGTTCAAGAATTAAAATAATTATCTTGAAAATAAAAGTGCAAGTTTATATTTGCCGTTTCTGTGTTTAATAAAATCTAGTAGTTATCCAGACCATTTTGTGCTTTCTAATCTTAAAATGGTTATTTAATTTTATTAGTAAGTATGACCAGACACCGACTCAGTTTGTTTATATATACTGAACGCTGGGAACCCTATAAAACTCAAGTCCTTTTCATCGGAAGTACAATTTATTTTATACAATTTATACATAGACATACATAGACATACATATACATACATAAACTTTATCTAAACACGGGAAAAAACCATCAGTATATCAAAACGATTGCTATTTACAAGTTTGTAAGTATAAAAATAAATGCAATGAATGTTTATTTCAAAAGCTGAAAATTGGCGCCAAATTGAGACAAAGCTAAAATCACATCCGCCAGGATGCCATACAGTTTTCAATTTGAATTTTTAGTGTAAACCACAGGTGTAAACACCTGGTTCGGTGCTTCAATGCTAGGTTAGTGTTAACCCTGGGTTAAAATTAAACCCGATGTTATTAGAAATTAACAATATACTCGTAACTCGCAACTCGCAACTCGCAACTTGCAACTCGCAACTCGCAGCTCGCAACTCGCAACTCGCAACTCGCAGCTCGCAACTCGCAACTCGCAGCTCGCACTATAGATAATCTCCTTTAATTATGTGTCAATCAACAGCACATTTTTTGCTTTTGTGTTTTCAAGAAAATGGCAAAATTTTTATTAAACAATTTTCGAAGTCAAAATGTGAATATGTTCACTCATTGGTGCACCAGATGGTGGAAGTTGGAAGTTGAAGAATTTGACCACCACTTAGTTGTGGAATGTTCGGCATTTGAACCTCGTTTTTTGACTTGAAATTCCAAAAAGTCAAATGCTTAGGGGGATTGATAGGATTGATACATTGATGGGACTGGTGAATAGCTTACCACAAAGACTTTGGTCCTGGTACATGGTATGTCCGGCGAATAATTGTCCTAGACTGCCTACCCTTACAAAAATAAACTATAGTTTTTCACCAAAAACTATAGTTTTTTTGAGCAAAACTATAGTTTTTGGTGAAAAACTATAGTTTTTGGTAGAATACTATAGTTTCCAAAAAAAACTATAGTTAACTTCAAAATAACTATAGTTTTTTTCCAATAAACTATAGTTTTATAACCCAAGGGAACTATAGTTTTTTGAAAACTATAGTTGAGTTTAGACACCTATAGTTTTTACCACTAGCATACAGTATATTTTCGTTTCATAACTAAAGGACTATAGTTTTATGAAAACTATAGTTCTTTACCAATACACTATAACTTTTATGAAAACTATAGTTCTTTACCAATACACTATAGTTTAAAGCCGGTTTTTCACTAGGCGGAATTTTGCGCGCGGAGCGGAATCTTTCTTTGTCTTTTCTGATTATTTCCACCCAAGAAATCACAAGACAAAGAAAAATTCCGCTCCGCGCGCAAAATTCCGCCTAGTGGAAAACAGGCATTATGAAAACTATAGTTCTTTACCAATACACTATAGTTTAATGAAAACTACAGTTCTTTACGAATACACTATAGTTTTATGAAAACTATAGTTCTTTACCAATACACTATAGTTTTATGAAAATTATAGTTCTTTACTAATATTACACTATAATTTTATGAAAACTATAGTTCTTTGCCAATACCCTATAGTTTTTATGAAAACTATTGTTCTTTACCAATGCACTGTAGTTTAATGAAAACTATAGTTCTTTACCAATATACTATAGTTTTATGAAAACTATAGTTCTTCACCAATATACTATAGTTTTATGAAAATTATAGTTCTTTACCAATACACTATTGTTTTATAACATGCAAACTATGGTTTTTACCAATACAATATAGTTCTTTGAAAACTATAGTTCTGTACCAATACACTATAATTCAGTATGAAAGCTATAGTTCCTTACCAATACACTATAATTTTATGAAAACTATAGTTCTTTTCCAATACACTATAATTTTATGAAAACTATGGTTTTTACCAATACAATATATTACTATGAAAACTATAGTTCTGTACCAGTAAACTATTATAGTTTTCATAACTAAAGGACTATATATAGTTTTATGAAAACCATAGTTTTTACCAATACACCATAGTTCTATGAAAACTATAGTTTTGTAGTTATAGTTTTTTAAAATACACTTTAGTTTCTATAACTATAAAGCAGTGCCTGTGGCCCTCTGCCCAAGCCAGCCCGACAATTTGGTCATGCTATGCAAATTTCAAATAAATATCATATATTCATTTCTTTAGAAATTTATTGTTTTCACAGAAATATTTATGTAGCATGAACAAATTGTCGGGCTGACTTCACCACTATATTCTATAGAGGATCATACATAATCCAGTTACCTCACTGTAAAAACTGATTGGTTGAAACAACCACTTTTTTTTACTTTTAATTAATATTAATTGGTCAAAATATTATATTTATTTAACTAGTCAAAATTTCAAAGTTTGAGTTAACTTTAAATTCTGCATGAGTTCATGGAAACTATATTTACCAAAGTTTATAGTGTTTGTGGAGGTAGCTGTTTTGGTACATGGGCACACAGGAGATAAACAATTTAGGGAGGAAGGAAATTTACTTGACTTTTCTCTGACTATAATGAAAAATGTCCGTGTAAACTTTCCCAAAATTGTTGTTAATGGGGATTGGGAGGGGCCGACGAAAAAACATTTCCTATTATGTTAAAATTCCTCATTACTTTTACATAATTATTTTCTTTTAAACTACAATATTGCATATGCCTTCTTTTTAAAGTTATTTCCCCCAATTTTGCCCTACTTACGTTTATAATTTGGCACGAATTAATTAAATTATCACGATAAGCGCGGTTTGACAGCCTGGTGCCTAATTTTCCTACAACATGCGCAAAGCTTCCTGGGATAGCGTCATTCGATCAGACCGCCATATTTTTGAAATTTTCATTCAGTAAATTTTATCAGCGTGAAATATTGATATTTTAAATGAAAATAACATATTTTAACGAAGATGGAATATCAGGAATGACTGAGTAACATACAGGTAAGAATATTGTTATGTTTTCTATATAATAGAGCAATTTTGAAACGAAATATTCAGACCTCTCAACTTGAGATCAGAATGTTTCAATTCAAATAAATTGATATACTCCGGGAAAGTTTTGTAATACCAAAAATTTTTCAAGTTTTAAGCATTATATAGTCTGTTTATATGTTATGAAACATATATTACTTTAAATATACATCTATTTTTTAATTAAAAGTCAAAACACTAAACCATTATGATAAATGAATAACAAGAATAATGTATGTATTGTAACTGAGTCTGAGAGTCTATATAATATTTGCAAGAATGATGTACATATTGCAATTATGTCAAACAATCTTGTGCTAACTAGGAAAATGCTCCAATGGCCAGGATCCCATAACAAAACTGACTGTTATTTTGACAAAGTGAAAAGTTGTATATTAACTATTTGCTGTTCAACTGTAAGAGCTCATTTGTGTTTGTCATTATACAACTTTGTTGACTTCTTCGCTTTTTCAATGAGACACCTCGATGGTTGCCAATTTAGAGGATCTTGGATGTGGGTTTTCACAACAATTAAAGAGAAAAGTGTGCCATTAAGCTCAAGGGAGCTGCGACTTGGCGTTTTATTTTTGTTTATGAGAGAAAATATTCTCTCTTCCCCTGCATTTGAATGTGGTATGGTCATAACAACTTCAGCAACACGGAAGAGAAGATCAAACTCAAGTGAATTTGTACCTGGTTTCTTCACACCCTTCAGATACCCCCAAAGAATATCAATTCGGTAATGTGGATCATCTTCTGCACATTTGGCAACTTCTTTTACCTCTGCTGGAATATCTTCTTCCAGCAACAACTGGTAGTTCAAGAATTGCTCGTTTAAGCTTTCCAAATCCATGTCAGGAAATATTTCGGGATACTTTGCAACAAAATACCCAACAGACATAAAAC